ACAAAATGCCTTATAGACTTCCATGTTCCAAGACTATGCTTCAATGAAAATCCATCCTCTGTCACTATGTATGCACACACAGCGGACCACTCCCAGCATATCCAAGTTGTAAAGGCAAAAAATAAAGAGGGACACTTCTGAAGTTGGTTAGGTGTGGAAGATCGGAGGACAACAAAGGAAGAGGTCAAGAAGTGGAGGGAAACAAAGAGATCACTGAAGTATCTCCATGGTTAAAGATGATTGTTACCTGGAATTTGTTCATCTCTCATCCTTTCACTTGAAAAAGGGTGGTATAAGGGCAGAGTAAAAGATTACAGCGACCCCACAATTATTCTTCACTGTAAGACTTTGTTAATTCTGAAGGCAGTCTTTTGCAAAACAGGAAATCTCTAGGAATTTAAGAGCAATAGTTGAGTTTGCTGTATTCAATTTATTTGTTGTTAATTCTTTTTCACTCCAGTTTTAAAGAAAATAATGAAGGAAAATATTTGGCTTCTGAAAAAAAAATACCTGTAAGATCACCTAAGATCTGTTATAGGTCAGTAACTTAGGAACAGATGGAAAACCAAGAAAAAAATTCTGCAAGTTAAGTATTCTGAAGTCAGAGCTGACAGAGAGGACATTTCTTAATAGGACAAGCACTGGATCCACCAAAGGAGTAAAGGCGCTGTTGAGGTAACAGAGTATACATAGATAAGGAAGGGGGCTGGAAGATATGGAGAATGACATTGGTATGTAAGAAAATCTCAAGTTTCATATGATGTAGGAGTTCACCCAAGATGGTCTGAAAATAACTTTTTACTAAAACCAGCTACTAAAAATTTTCAATTACAAAATTATTTGTAAATTATTATAAAATTATCCAATCACTATAAAAGTTCACTGATTTGCTGTTGTGATTGAGGATTACACAGCCTGAGTAGTGTTGCACTAATAAGGAACAATTATGGAAAAAAAGTGTTTCTCTGAAATCAGATGTGCAAAGGAAGGTGATGCAGTTCACAGAATACAGACCCAGTACCCCAAATCCTTGCACGCGTGCCATCTCCCCAGCTGAGGCAGTGGGAGTCAGCTACACATAAGGACTGCAGGCTTTGACCCTGAAGCATGACACTGTGCTTAGCTGTGCACCTGCGCTCCACTTCACAAACCTGAAAGTCCTATTAATTAAAAGTACAGTGAAGTAGCATGTTTAAAGCCTATCCTTTTTTTTTCCTCTCTCTGTCTGTAAAAAAGCTAGCAAAATCATTCATTTGTATTATGAGTTTATGGCTCAGTACTATATGAAAAATTAAACATCTTTTGATTTACAAGTATAAAAAGTCTTTCTCATTGCAAAATCCCAGCTTTGTTTTTCATTCCTCTCTTTTTCAAACAAGGCTAAATACAAGGAAAACAAAAGAGCTAATTTAATTTGTATTTGGTTTAGATCACACTCCTATACTAAGTTAATGCAGCTTCATCACACAATGAAACCTTTTAAAAAAAGTTACACAGCATTAAGAATTCCAGACAAAAACTGTATATTTTTATAATTTAAATAGCATATTTTTTCTTTTTCTTCTGAATATTTGAATTTTAATTATCACCAGCGTAAATGTACATAAGCAGATACCGTTTATCCAGTACCTTTGGATGCTGTATGTATGGTAATGTAGTTTGTCAGTTTATCATCATTTAATATGATTATGTTGTTCTTTGTCTTTAAACTGTTATAAGAACATGCTGCCATTAAACTTTCCATGTCTGTCTAGTTTATATTGTGAAAAAATAATAAAGCACACTGTGAGTTACTTGTATTGCATTTGCATTGTTCAGGATTTGTTGATAAAAAACTACTCAGAGATTTTGGGTGTAATGCCATAAATGAAACATAATTCTTGATAATTCTATTGACATGTTCTGCTCAATATTGGCCAGTATTCACCAGCCTTGCTCAAAGGCCTCTGTGCATTGAGATGCAGTAACCCAGGTTTAATAAGCTGCTGCTGTGTGAAATACAGTCCACAGCTGTACCAAGTACAGTGTCATTCCTTCTGCTGTCCCATACATCTGATGTCTTGTGGAAAGCGCAGCAAGACTCTTCTATTTATTTGCTAAAACTACTTTTCAACCTTGTAGAAAGGATCTGGAAAAGCATATTAGCAAGTTTCAACAGGAGAAGAAGTGTTTTTGTTACTGCTGAAGGTTTGTTACAGTTATGATTGCTTTCCATCAGGTATTTAGGTATTTTGCTTCTTAAAGGCTCATATTATCTGGCCCTCAAATCACAGTTGTTGCCACATACCTTCTATGGCTTTAGTTCATGTAGAACATAGCTAAGTGAGCTCAGGTAATGAGTATTTAACTGCCTTAAGAATTTACTCAGCTTCCTGAGTGGGTTTTGCAGCCTAGTGTGTGCACTGTGCTGTCATGGATGCACTTGTGAGTGCCTGAAGTTAGTCATTTAATGCTTTTCAAGGACAATTCAGACACGTGTGCAGAACTTCTACCCTTCTGTCTGTGTCCCTGAAGACAGAGAAGGTGGAGGAAGTCAGCCTGAAACCAAAAGAAGAAGCAACAGCAGCAGAACACAACTAATAGACTGTCCTCTGAGCTCTGGGATTAAACCGTCCACCAGAGAGCATGGCTACTAAATCCTTCGCAAGGCAGAAGGTAAGCACATTTGCATTTCTGCAAGTACTGCCATTCATCTCACCTCTC